TTATAATTTAGCGCCGAATATTAATTCAAACTTGAGTGCAGAAGTTGGCACTTGAGGAGACGGTCATGGCTTGGTCCTCATACAAATTTATTTTTACTAAAAAAAAACGGCTCTTCAAGTCTCGATTACGGATTTTGGCCAAAATTTCACTAGTAAGTGAGAAAAAAATTGAAAAAACCCATTTGTTCAGAAAAAAAACAGTGATTAAAACAAAATTCTGTGTTATCGGCACTTGCAGGGCCTGACTATTACCGCTTGTGAATTTCAAGTTTTGTTCATAGGAAAAAATGGGCTTTTCCCTAATGAATTATGATTATTTATAAAAATAAAGAACGGCTCTGCCAGGTCCAGTGACACGTTTAAGAAAAAGAGGAAAAATTCTAAGAAAAAAATTACAATTTTTTAAAGCTCCTTAAATAAGAAAAGCCCGACTACAGTTGACTTTTAAAATATTCAACACTCAGCTTTCAAGTTCAGTGCTGCTTTTTTATATTGTACGTTTTATATATTTCCCATTTCCAACATTTCAAGCGAAAGCTTTGTGAACATACACATGTGTCTGCGATGTGCGATAGCCAAAGCTCCTATGTATGAAATACACATTTCTCTCTCTGCTTGACGTGCAATGAATCCCAACGAGCAGCAGCTCACAGCCATAAATGTTCTACATCAGCAGATTAACTGAAAGAGCACACATTGCAAAATCAGCGCTTATACTCTCTTCAATTAAAAATGCATTTAAATATTTTTCACTCACCATTTCCCTTTGAATTTCCTGAAAATAAATAATTATCTGCCTTTCCTTTGTGCCAAAACTAATTTCACTTGTCGGCAACACAAAGGTTTAATATAAATTATTAATTGCCTCAAAGTTACACTCTGTGCGAAAATTGCAAAACGGAGCGAGGGGAACATTTGGATTCCGTCTCAACTCTGGTGAAAATTAAAACGGTAATATTCGCGCGTGAGAGAGAGAGAAGCGTCGTTAGCTGCAAAGTTTGCCCGGATGCACATCAACATTTAATATATATTCGCGCTCGCACACACACGTCGTTATCTCTTTGCTCCGCTCACTGTAATTGAGACATCAATTAAAATTTGGGCCCGCGGGCTTTCTCTCCTCCTCTGCAAACGAAACCGAATAAAGCTCGCGAGTCTTTCCGCTTTTCTCACCTTTCGCTTCCTTTGTGCGCCTTGTTTGAAGTGAAAAGAGGCAACCCGAGTCGTCCTGGCTTTTGTGTGTGTTCCGTTTTGCAGACCTCGTTCTTCGACGCGCGTTTTGTAATAAAGGCAAAGAGCGGCGACGACGTCCAATGGAATTTGCAAATAAATTACTCAAGAATGGTGTAACGTTTCTGGCGCGCGCGAGATGAAACGTACACCCACCCGTCTTGACTTCCACACAAAGTAGTCTCCCAATTTAAAGACCATTTTCCTCGTCACGGCCTTTTTTGCAATTGCCGCCCCACTCGAGCGCATATGGCTTAAGGACGTATTATTTAAGCACTTTTCTCGTTTTAATTAAATCTTGAAAGATTACGTTTGCTTAAAAAAGTCAAAAAGACAAATAAAAACTAGGAGAATAAATTTCCGTTATGAAAAAGAATACAAACATTACGTTTTTAAGCTTTAAGCTGTGAGAATATTAAAGCGAGATTTTTTTATGATTTTAGCGGATTTTAGCAAATGTTTTTTTTTACATTTTATGTGAAATTTTTCGTTCAAAATAAACATTTGAAATTAAAGCAAAAATTAAAAACAAATAATTCGATCTTTATATTAATTCCATATTATTCGCGTCATTGTGACTGTCTTTAAACCTCTTCTTTACTAATTCTTTTATGACAAATTCATAAGGCAAATGTAGAACTATTTTTCAACATAAGGCAAATGTAGAACTATTTTTCAACATCGGCCAAATGTAGAACTATTTTTCAAGATCAGCCGAATGTAGAACTATTTTTCAACATCAGCCAAATGTAGTAAATATTTTTCAACAAAAGCCGAATGTAGAACTCATGAGAGTCATAAGAAGGTTTATTTGTTCCTATATTATTGTGACGAATTGTATATTTTAATTTAATTTTATAAATTTTTCAATTAATTATTAATTATCTTAATTAACTGTGTTCAATTAAATTAGCAGACTTCTCAGACATCCAAAGCCAATATTGTGCATAGACAAGAAAATCTTGAAGTCTCTTCCTCAAAGTTTTCTGATGAAGTTTTTAACAATCTAATAATTTCCCAAGATCAACTTTCTTATCAATTCTCGTAAAATACATATTTCACATCATATGACCTGCCATGTCACAAGCAGCAGGTTCGCATTTGGCACGACAGCAGTTATGTTTCTCTGCAATCCCACATCTTCAGACAGAGGCGCAGTTTTCTTGATTAAAACTTTTGCGTCGCGAGAATAGCAGCTGGAAACTCACTTATTTAAATTGTCTCTCCACAAATCTCCCTTTTTCGCGCTCTACTTGCGCCGGCTAATGAAATTTTAATCGAGTCTCTGAATGAAAATCACGCATGAAAAGTTTAAAGGGCAAAGAGACATTATTGATTCGGAAAATTGATAGAGACAAACAAAAATGGAATTGGTTCACCCCGTCAAATTTATCGCGACGGCAACCCTTCCATCCATCACATTCAACCCACTTTTTTTTTTTTTTGTAAATCACCAACGCAGCAGCCTGGTCGTGTTTTTTTGGCCGTACTCGAAAAAATTAATTTATCATTTCCCTTCATTATTCACTACAAAAAAACGAGAGATAAAAAACGACAGAAGATTTGCACGAAATTTTACCTTTGAGAGTTGCGACACCTGCGCTCTACTTTTTTCTCTCGTCGAAAAAAGAGGCAAGCAAGTGGGTGTTAAAAGTGGGCTCTGGAATTCTGCAGCTTTTCGCAGAGCAGCTGCCGCTCTTCTGAAAACGGCAACTTTTTTTCTTTTTTTTTTTGCTCCGTGCGGCTTCCTTTTTAGCAAGAAACGAGACGACTTTTCAGCGTCTCGCCTTCCTTATAGCGCATTCACATAAAAACAAAATTGTAATAAAAGTGCTTCGACACACAAAATCAGCACAAAGCGAACGAACTTCGTGTATTTTGGTGCGTTAATTCGTCCTCGCGCCCTTTTTCAATTATCAGTGGGAATCAGAGCAGAAGTAAAATACTGCGCCTTTCTCCGTCTCTCTCAATATTATAATTCAGCCCAGTTGTTTATTTACTTTTTCCAGTGGAGGATCAAATTCATCAAGAGGCGCAAGGCTTTGCGAACGGATCAGTTTCCAGTAGCTCATAAATTTTGGTGAGGGATGCGGAAAAAGGACGCTTGATTAATTCTGCTAACCGATGATCTGGTGCTCTGCACCAGGCTTCTCAGAATTCTTCCAACATAAAAATCTTTTGATTAAAAAGTGTAATAAAAAACCTTCTGCTTTTTCCAGAAATTATTGAACCGAAAAATTTGAACAAATTTTTTTCTGCTAGAAAGAAATAAAAATCAATGCTCAAGCATAATTTTGCAACTAAAAATAAAGGAAATAAACTTACAGAGACAGAAATGTTGCCCAAAATATTAGAAATGAGAGAAAGCTTTCAATTTTTAATTAATTAATACTCCATTAGCTTTTTTAGTTAAAGCGCATTTTTTTTTAACAATTTTAACAAAAAAATTGAAAGAAATTACTTGAATTAAAATTTATTTTTAGAGGCAGAAAAGTTGGTTTCTGTTGCCTGGTGATACCAAAATTATCAAATAAACATTTGAATTGATAAGAATAATCAAAATTTATGAAATTCAGTTTTGCAGAAGATAGATAGTTGCTCTAAAAGTTTTATTTTGCTGCAATTTTAAGGAAATTAAGCTATCACCAAATGGGAAAAATAAATCAAATTTTTTGACCATTTTAAACGGAAAATTAAATAAAAACAGTGTAACAGAAAGATAAGATAGGAAGATCCCTTCCAATAATTTTAGTCTGCTAGAAAGTCATACCAGCATAGGGAGTATCAAAGCTGTGCAAATTTGTTTTCTAGCCTCAACCGAGCCATTCCTCTTCCGGCGTCCCACAATCCCAAATGTCGGCCTCCCTTGCGGTCGGACGGCAGGCCGGCTTATCCCAGAGTGTGCGACCCGACAGCGCACACAGATCAATCCTATATTCCGTCCGGATGTTGCTGGAGTTGAGTTTTGATGAATTGGGAGCTGCCACGAAACAAATACTTCATCACTCTCATTCGGACTAATCCGTCAGTGTGAGCAAGATCGAATGAAAACCCCTCTGGCCTCTGCTGCAGCGTGTTCGCACACATCGTGCATTGTTTTGTTCTCTCGTATTTGCAAATTTACAGGAGCACGTCACAGTCCCAGCGGAGAGCGCGCGTCCGACAGCAGCGAGCGCACGCAAAATCGAAAATCCCAGGCGACGCGCCACAAAGGACACCCGATTGAATTTCGGTCCCTCTCTCCGTCCGAGTAATACCGCCGTACGTGCCACGATTTTATTTCCTCGGCTGATGGAGAGCAGCTTCATTTAATTACGCGCACCTGCGACCGACACGCTGATCTTGTCGGCTCCTGAGGGCTTTTGATACCGAGCCGTGCTCTCAAAACGTTTTTGCCCAGGCGCCTTTCTCGGTAAGGTCGTTATGGAATCCTGAATGGGATTTGTCTCGGCTCTGCAAATCAAAAATCCCTCATGATACAAAAACTTGTCTTTTAAGCCAAGGTGCTTTTTTTCCGAGCGCTCAATTTCCTTATGAATTAATAACTTTAAAATCGAAATTTTGTGTAGTTTAAAAGGGAAGTATATCAACTTTATAAATGCTTGATTTCCATAAGTAATTAATTTTGTTTTTTCACTTTCATTTTAATTTCAGCGGTTCCTTTCTCTGCAGCTGATTTATATTGCAATTTATATATCAGTTAATTGATAAGGGACAATTTTTTGAAACAATTAAAGTAAAAATTTATACAAATATTTTATTTAGACATGAATACTTTCATCAGATAGTTTAAATCAAATTAAAAAAACTTGTTTTATCTCCAAAAATTGACATGCTACTCATTTGGCCAACCAAATACAAGAGCACAGACATCACTATGCTCAGGGAGGTAAGTAAATTCAAGCCCTTCGGCAGTAACAACTTTTTGCGTCACCTGCTGCTGTTGGTCTTTCTGTTCCAACATTTTTGGCACCACCACCTGGCCGCGGTGCTTCAAAACCAGAGTGTACGGTGCTCTGCTGTCCAGTAGCGTAGGGTTGGTCAGTGTGACTTTGCAGTCATCAGGTGTTACAGTTTTATAGTATTCTAAGTATCCTTTTGTCTTGACTTTTTCAGTTGTTGTCAAATTTACTTCCAAATCTAGATATTCACCAGTTTTTAAATAATGTGCACCGAGCGCTTCCACTGCCAGCAGGTAAACCGGTGAGCTAACCTCAAATTTGAGCTCGAAGGATTTCTCTTTGAAGCAAATCAGTTCAAAATCTGTACAAAGATTGTCTTCCAGTTTGACCACGAAAGTGTTCCTCTTGTAGTATCCTCGCCAGGGTGAAGTGAGGTCAAAGTCTTCCAGCACAGGGTCTTTTATGTTGAGCTGCTTGTGGACAAAGAGGGCAACCTTTTCCTCGGCACTCAGCGTAGAGCTGCTACGGCAAATCAAGGCCAAGTCTTCCATGCTTAACGATCCAAAATGAATGAGGCCCATCATCGTGCCTAAAATCTCTCTGGCGGCTGCCTTTCTTGCAGAGGAATCATTTCCCGGAGGCACTTGGCTCAAGGCCCAAAACTCCAAACCATTGAAGAGTTCCTTCTCGCTGATGATGTTCAATCGGTCGGACTTCAGCAGGGCTTCCACAGTTTCTCTGCAGGCCGTTTCCAAATAGAAGCAAAGTTCTGCACCTCGACTGAGCAACATCTATTTAATTTGAACTTCATTTATTTAATTGCAATTATTACATATCATAGATGTTTAAATTTTTAATTTTTCTGGTTTTTTATATACATAGGAAAAACAAATAAAAATTAATACCTTGAGGACAGTGTCTGCTTGCTCGTTGAGATTGTGCTTCACAAGTATACCATGCCAGCTAAGCAAACGATCAACATGATCATCGAAATCTCCATACTGAATAATTGTCGTGCCGACCTGCTCAGCTAATTTCTCGATTTTCCACTGCACCGCAAAATCAAAGATAAACTTTCCACTATAAAAGTTTTTGCATCTCTCTATTATTTTATTCTGCCCTCCGTAGATGAACCTTAAAATAGTAACAGATGAAATGTGCAAAAATTCGCTAACAAAATAAAAATATATTATGCAAGACCTCAAAATCAAATCAAAATTTTCAGGTGAGCAGTTTGTCAGCTCAATTTTCTGGTCCGCCTGGTCTTTTAGCATTTCCGCAAAGATTGGACTAGCAGTAGCCAAGATCAATCGGTGGCACTTGAACGACTGTCATAAAAATTAAAATTAAATTAGGCGCCACACAACAATTTAATTAATTTATTTTTTTCATTACTGTATAAAATATTGTTCTTTTACTATTTATTTTCTAATTTTATATTACGTGTACCTTTTTCTGATGACCATTTAAACCCACCACCACAGTACAGTCGGAGTATTCACCGCTGTCCAACCACTGGAGAAAAAGGTCACTCATATTCATTGAACCGCCACTTTTGTTCCCTTGGACCCACTGAAATTGCAGCTGCTTCATGTTTTTACTAAAATGTGTTGTCCCCATCGCATTTGGTCGTTAAGTGCATAATCTTTGAAGTAAGAATTAATTCAAACTTTCCGTGTTATAAGTACTTACAGCATAAAAAAACAGATTATCTGGCTCTTCGGGGATTCACCAATGTTTATCATTTATCATTTGATGACGCGTGAAAATGCGCGTGAAGTCATACCATTCACAGAATCAATTAGTTCTTTGATTGGCAAAGTAGGATCACGTGATCTAAGGATGATTTTGTAAATTCTGATCAAGACCAACTATCTACAGCAGCTGGCTGCTGGGGTCTGAAGGAAAAATGCAACGCGCAACAACTCGCTCATTCTCACCATTATTTTTCTAGTCCTCGCATCTTCTTTACTTCAAGCTGTAAATTTGTTAAATTTTAATAGCTTTATATTTTATGATATCTGGGAACATAATTTACATTTATGAAAATTTTATTGCTATTAATATAACAAACTGAAATTTTGTGATCAAAAATTAAAAGAAAATATTTTTCCCCAAAATTTTGACTTCATAAAATACCAGAAAAAATATTTATTTGTTTTTAGAGTTGGGAGCAAATGATTTGGTTATAAAGGCTATTAAAATGTGTATAATACATTTAATCTTTTTTAATCAACATCTCCAGAGAATTAAATTTTATGTATCTCATATAATTATGTACTTACCATAAAATAAAATTTTCGGAGCTTGCTTCCATACATTTTTTTTTTAATTTGTACATGTTTACAAAAATAAATAATAATAATAATGAAAAAATGAAACAAATTTTGCAAATTTCTACAAATACTGTTTTTATTTTTCATAAATAAAATTCGATGAACGCTCCCTCCCATATTTATTTTCCTACAAAAAATTGTATTCCTATATCAATATGATGTGTCATTCTGATGATCATTTGCTTCATGAATTCGCGGGCTCCTCACTTTTGATTAAAGACTTTTAATCTTAGGAATTACTTCTACTTCTCGCTCTGCATGATTAATTTTTCATCATTAACTCTTTTCAATTTTGAAACAATCCAAAGTTTTTCCACTGGGAGCAAAAAGAATTGCATTTTCAATCTCATTAAAACTTTCTCTGTCTCGTCATTCCAAAAACATATATACGCAACAAGTTTCTTCCGATCTTGAATTATGCAAAACAAGTTGGCCCAAATTCGCATTTTGATTCGCACTCCCTAACGCAGTAGCACTCTCGATGTGAATAAATAGTTAAAGCAATGTGCTCGTGGAAATTGACACACGGCACAAACAGCTAGGCGTGCATGTAATTACAGCGCGCTTTGTGTGCCGCGCGTCGCCGCCCGTCGGGGTTTCGATTTTTGATCAAACAAGCGTATTTGCTTTGGCTCCAAATTGCCTTTTGATCGATTTTTCACGACTGCCAGAGAATTACGCGCAAAGTCGTTGCAAAACTTTTTTCAGTCCGCTTCTCTCGGGAGGCGCGGCTGCGGAGCCCACAGGAGAGTAAATCAATTATATTTCTCTCCCGCCAGTGCACAAACAACAGGCAAAGAAAACGGTCCTTTTTGAGTTACCTTTGCCCGGCGCTTGGGAAAAACATAAAAACGGCGCAGATGCTTAAGCTGCCCGCGGACAGACACATAGCTCGACATTGGATGTAAAATTTTTGGGAAAAGTTACTTTACTCCGATTTTAATTTTGATGTTTTTGCTACATTTTTTTATTTTGCTTTTAACAACAAGAATACATTTCCCATTGTAAATTTAAATGAAGATCCAGATTGCCGCGATTCTTTTATAGAATTTGAGTGCCGTAAAAAATTATTCCGCAGCCATGCATGGCAGGAATTGATGACAATTGACAGCTTAAAATATGTGTTATACTCTTCGCTTTGTAAATCAAAAATTACATTCTTTCATTGACAATATAGATGTATTTTGTGAGAAAATAATTTTTTTGCTCATTTGGCGTGTATAATTGAAATAATTGCCTGCACAACTAGTTTTTATTCAGCTTCTTCGAGTTGGCTGAACTAGAAACATTTGTTTTCGATTCCAAATGTGTTATGGGAAAATTTTTCTTGAATAAATATTAAACTTTGTATGGGATCTTAAGAAGTTTCAGGCTTCGAATACAACTAAAAACCTAGACACAGAAAAAAGATTTAAAGAAAATTTTAAAAATAAAAACAACTTTTCATTCTTTTAAATAATTTTTTTTAACTTTATGAGCGCTTTTTTACCCTTACATTTCCAAGAATCAAAAACACTGGAAACAAATGCTTTTTTCTTATTTCCTTGTTTTAAACAAGATTCAGTTAAAGCTTGTGTTATTTTGTCGCAAAAATGCTTGTGTTGTTGCCCCACTTATAAATTGTCAGCTTAAATACATATTTAATGTCATATATGCAAATCGGATGCAAACTTTCGGCCCTCATTATTTCAAGTGTATGTTATGTTCACCGTGTGTGACGTTATTGCCGGGAGGATCGATCAGTGTTTCCGACAAGCTTTGGTTTACCTACATGCCAGCCGTGTTTGTTGTTGTTCCACCTGTGAATATCATAATGGCGAAAGCACGACACATACACGTTGCAAATTAGGCCGTTATCAGTGACGAGATGAAAATCGGCGCTGGGCACTCTGTCGCGCGAATCGCCATGAATATTCATAGCGAGCACTCTGGTTTGTTCTTCGAGCTGGGAGGGATTGAAACTCATTTGCAATTTTATTCCGTTTCAACCGAAAAAAAATCAAAATTGCCGATTTATTGAAGATTGCGAACCAAACAAGAGCACAGAGTGAATTAATTTTAGGGATTAAAATATAAAATGATATGAGCACCATTATTTGGTGATAACAATTTTTAAATTATAATTTTTCCGAAAAAGGCTCAATTTGTTTCATCTACAGATTATTTTATTAAACAGAAAAATTATAAAACTTGTGGAAAAATTTTACTTAGCTTTAAAAAAAATAATATTTAATAATTAACCGAAAATCAAAAATAATAGTTACAATTTTTTATGAGAAAAGTATGAGAGAAAATTAAAAAAATTAATTAAGTTTTAGTTTTTAATTTGCAAATTAAATTCTTTGAAACTAATTTATGTTTTTCTCTTTACTGACCAGCGCTGAAATTAGCCCATTTTTCCAATATCCTAATTTAAATTTTGATCCTGCTTTGAACTTGTGCATTGATTTTTTTACGCAATGCATTGCAAAAGGAAATTGATTTTTTAACATATCATTCGTATTCGATAATTTGAAATGTCGTTGAGTTTTCCAATAGAATTCGCTCTCAATTCCAATGTACGTGCGCCGGGTTCAAATCGATAGGACGATTGAACCGCTCGAAAAAGAGAGAACGGAGTGAATCACATTAAAGCCGGGGCCCATTACCGTCCTGTACAGCGGGGCTGACAAGACAAATCGACCTATCGATCTGAAGGTGCAATAAATATACTCAAAATAATCAATGCTGCGACATTTCCCTTTTTTACACTCCGAGTTGATAAAAAAAAACTAGGAGAATTGCCTTAATTTCTATTAAAAAAGAACACGTGCGCTCAACCAGAGTAACCAGACATGCATATTAATGACTCTTTCAAGCGTGCTTTTATTTCTCTCTCGTTAAAATTCAAACAAACGTGAAAAAAACAGCCACCCTAATGATTCTTTGCGTGTGGGCTTTGAGACTTTTGTGAGAGCAGCAAAATGATGCGCAGAGGCAAAGGCGGGGGCTGACCTTTTTCAGCTCGAGGGCTTCGTCAAACAATATCAATTTGGAGAGAGAGAGAGAGAACAACATCAATATTCATGAAATGCGCGTCAGGTAGAGAGAGATTTTTTTCTGTCCCTAAAAGCAGTATGTGTTTCTGATTAAATTTGAAGTCTATTTACAAACTTGAGCGAAAAACATCTACATCAAAGAAGCGGGAAAATTCTTGAATAATAAAGCATCAAATTCAACAAGTCGTGGAAAGTTCCAGATCAAATTTACATCTTCTTAACGGCGTGGAAACATTTTGTCCAAAAAACTTTGCCCTTGAAACTGTAAACAAGATAAATTGAATTTTATTGAAAGAAATTGCAAATATGGTAACCAAAAAAGGGTTAGAATCACTTTACGAAATTGTAGCATTCACGATTTTGATGATTTTATGGCATTTTTAAACAACTCAAATAATAAATTTAACAAGATTCAGCATTTTTTATAAATTATAATAATTAAATTAATTCGAAACTCTAGATTTTTCTCTTTCTTTCCAAAGAGGTTGAACTCTGGAAAGGTTTTGATTGATGATAAACTGAGCATTTCCTTGTTGTGAAGATTGAGATTGCTTTTATTTTTTTATGTTATTTTCTTTTGTATTATTATTTTTTGAAAATAACCTAACATTCACAACAAAGAAAAGACTTTCATCATTTATCATGATTCGCCTCTCAAGTGCCTCTTTTTCAGCAAAATTTTTACAGGCCCTTGAATTTTATATTAAAATTTGATATTAAATTCCTTTGTATCATCAACTCTGGACGAAAACGGCGCTTTCCCACTTTATACGTTCTTTATCGCAGAGAGCGTTTTCATGTCAGGTGATGAAATGAAATTCGGAGTCAAGTATGGTTATAAAAAGTCGAGAACGGCGTCTCGGATAATCCCGTAAATTCGGTGAACAACACAAAAACAATTTGACTTCGATCGAGGCGGCGCACACCTGCCGGCCGTAAAAGGACCAAAAAAGGACCTAATCCAATATTTAAGCCTTTTTACGTCGAGCCGACCATTAGCAGGGCAGGCCACCCGCCCACCACGTGTGCTGCGCAGGTTGCATCGCTTTCATCTCGAATGACATTTTCATGAGAAGTTCCCAGTCTCAATTCCAGTCGGATGAAAATTTGAATATATATTCCAGTGATAAAAAGGGACAGCTCGGAATCGATTTGATTGCCAGTCGGACTGGGAAATTGCGGCCGAGTCAGCTTTTGTTGTAGCCGAGGGAGGCTGTGCAATATCGAACAAACGCCCCCGGACGCCCTCCAGCTCGGGATGCCTATTTATCAGGCCGGCGTGCAACTTTATCATGTGCGAAGAGGCAAAAGTGTGCAGCAGCTGCGTCCAGGTGGAAGAGGAACGAGTTCGCCTGTGAATTAAGAACGAGCCGCTGCTTTCGTCGATTCTTTTTTTTTCCTCCGTCTTGTTTTTGGCGTAGACGGAAATTTTATTATTGGGCAGACGAAGTGGTTGCCCGAGAGGACTGTTTTTTGTATCATTTTTCTCGCTGCGTCTTTTTTTATTATTTTCTCTTTCGCCGCGTGCGTGCGCAATATACCTCTTTTTCTCTGTAGTCTCGCGGGAGAAGGCTGAATCTCTTTCTCTCCCTCTCGATGGGAAATTAAATTGCGTTTTTGCCGAATTTATTACGAGCTAAGATAGAGAGGCCGTCGGAAACGCCCAGATTTGGCTCTGCACGTCTTGGGTGAAATTAATTCCAGGCAATTATTCGCAGCAGACGCTTCACGTCGAGTTGAAATATTGGACTCGGCGGGATGTTATTTATTCGAATCGCTGTGTAACAATGTAACAAACCAGAATGTTGTGCCAGACTGAAATGCAAGGCTGTATAAACAGAGAGGGTAATGAACTGTCTAGGGAGAATAATATTCTTTAATTTTTATTAGAGGGAAAAATGAATTTTTTTACATGGGCTTCAAAGATACGTTGAAGTAAAAATAAAAACTACTGGAAAAAGATGAAAATTTATTTCAAGTAGGATTTTTCCTATGAAATTTTTTATAAATCAATATTACAATATGGAAAATATATTAGGGTATATTGGAGTAAGTTTTTTTTTTTAATATTTTTTCATCAAGTTATTAAAATTCAGGTATGAGGCCTATGAGGGTCATTAGTGCCTAATTTTAAATAAAACTATTTGTAAATAACTACGGTATGAATTTCAGAGGATAAATCCATGTCTTACCTATCCAAAAAGATTATTCAAATCACCTAATTTTCAAGATGCTTTATTCACGGTTTACAATTAGCCCTATTGTGATCACAAAAGTAAGGTAAATAACATTTATTGTAAAAATTTTAATATCATATTGCTATCCGAGCTCCACTAAAAATTATTTGCTCCTTTTTTGACTGATAAAAAATTTAAATTATTTGTATTTATTTAGGAACTGAAGTTTAGGAAATTTTAGAAAACTGTCAATCAATTTTTATCTAATTAGTTGTTTTTACTCTTTCTAGCTTACAAACCACTCACACTTTTATTTCAGACGTCAAAAATTGCAACATTTAAAAAACCAATTAAATTTTAACTTTTTTTAATTTAAATCTTTTTGGAATTTATTGGTAGAATAATTTTACCGCAGAAATCCTACCTTTGAAGAATCTCCAACAAAGCGCGCAATGGCTTGGAGCGATTGCGTGAATTTTTTGCCTCGGAACTCTTTGATGCGTGTTCGTTTTCCCGGAAAATCCGCAGCGACCCTGACGTTTGCACTCTTTTCCTCCTCTCGTGCTAAAAAGCACTGATGTCGGAGCGACGCAAACCACATCGCTCGTTTAATTGAACCGGGGGCTCGTCCACCTGTCCCTCGGCAGCAAATGGACTCGCGCGTCTGAAATTCCGAAAAAAAAAAAAACAATGCATTAACTGCCCGGACAAACGGCAATAATTAGATTTTACAGAGCCATGCGTCAACCTGCTGGTGCTGCAGATAAACACACGCGCCGTTAATAATTGGAAAATGGATGTTTTGCGGGTGGCCATTAAATTCCGCGAAAAGCTGTACATTATTCGAGTTCATCTCGCCATTCAGTGGAGCGCGGCCCTTTCGCTCCGTCGCCGCACCACCAGCATTTCCAATCCTTTTATCGTGCAAAATCGACGCGCCGCTTTTGCGCTCGCACCGGATTTCAAAGCGAAAAGTCTCCAGCGAGAAATTCAAATTTCCACTATGCAAAAAAGAGCACGTGCGGTTTTTCTCTCGCCCTCTCGACCCTTTTTCGCTGAAATTTATTCCATTGTGTGTCTGAATTCATCAACAAAAAGCGATATTTTAATTTTTACCCTCATTCCTCGTCGCATAAAAAATATAATGTATGTTTTGTTGTTTAATTTTTGGGTGGGGCAAATGGCGCACGCCCGTCGGTCAATTAGGACCGGCTGAAAAAAGAGCTTTTATGAGGCTCTTTTTCTCTCTCTCGCAATGAAACGAGAGAGCCACCCTCATCAGCCGACTCATTATTACATACGCCCCGCAATGAGACGAGTCTCTGCTCTTTATCTTGCTCTCTGACGATTGGCGCGCTTTGATTGCGGGCACTGAGGCGTGAGAGCAGAGATATCAGGTCCCCTGCGAGAATTCATACTATCAACGTCAGCAGATTGCAATCAATAAGAATCCAAACGTCAAAATATGGTAGTAATTGTCTATCTTTTGTGTTACAGACGAGGCGCTGACCTGCAACGTTTGCGACAGAGCCTTCAGCACGTCCAGGTTACTCCAGCAACATCAGCAGAAAAAGAGGCATTTTGGGTGAGGATTATTTTTATCCGTTAATAAAGGTTAAAGGCGAACTATAAACTGAATTGATTGATTTTTGGTGGGAAAAAAAATGCTTTTTTAGTTTTAAAATAGCGACAATGTCATAATTAATTCTTTTTAAAAGGAATGATGGATTCAACAATAAATGGGGGAATTTCAAACAAATTGGTATAAATCTATATACTTAACTTTTAATTTAGGTTCAAGAATTAAATTCTATGAATTGGTAATACTTTTAATGTTCGTTGCTTGAATTATTGAATATAATAAAATATTAAATCTTCAAATGGGTAAAGCGATAGTGACTAAAAAGTTTAATGTTTAAAAAACCATTTAACATTTAGCTGTGTTGATAAATTTATACAAATAAGACAAAAATAGCAAAAATTATAAACAAATTGGCTTTAAAAAATTTTTATAATAAATAAATAATAACATTAAAATATTAATGATGATTAAATTTAAAACAATGTTTTAAAAATTTTAATTGTTGTTTCATATATTTAAATTGAATTTAACTGAGAAAAAAAATTCTCATCAGCTTTCCTCTGGGAAATTATAAATTATCGCTTTACTAAACATATTTCCAGAGCTGCTATAAAATTGGAAGGACTCTGCGGCAAAATCGTTTCCTTCTATAACTTTTTAACAAAAATCAACTAAATATACTTCAATTGTTTCAATTTTTTTTATTATTGTCTTACAATGTGCAGCTAAAGTTTAATTAAATTTGCGTGCTAAAGGCTGCAGTTTGGAGTCAAAACTTTTCAAGCAGTTAAAAAATAAATAAATTAATCCAAACAAGTTTCAAGTTTATCCTGGAGGAAAAGTTTGATCATTATAAATATTTATCCTGTCTAATATTTACTTGAAAGTATAATGCAAAATAGAAAGCGGACTTTCTGGGATTTTCTGCAAACTAGTGGAGGAATTCCTTTGAATTTCCTCTCAACCAACAAGTTTGTAGTATTATCGCAGTTGAACTCTTCGTCAGCTCGGCCAACTTTTGACCTTTGAGTCTCTAGGTGCTTCCAGCTCTCTCAAGTTTGAAGGGGGCACCTGCATTGATTTATTTACGCGCGCTCTTCGCGAGAGCTCATTAAACATCCGAAGCAGCGAGTTCTTTGATGAAACAATAACGTGCCCCAACCTCAAAACTTATCCTGCCGCCGCGTGCGCCCTCATTAAGAAATTATCCGTGGCACTTAGCGAGGCGAGGCCCTTGGGGAAAATTTGAGCTGCTTTTCTTCTCCGTCGTTGAATAAAACCGGCGCAGGAAAAAGACTAACGTTTACACGCCTCGCTTTCTCTCTCTTTTGGAAGATAATGGAAAGAGCAAAACACTTGCATCGGTTGGAGGGTTTTTTTTTCATTCAATCAATTGACCGGTCGAGAGGAGGTAAAAGGTGAAGGTGCAAGACCGCAATTTATAATTCAATTTAGCGCTGCTTTTCCCGGGCAGGCTGATATTTGCGGTTCGCAAACACTGCTGTGCCCCTCCGCTGCTTTGGATAAATAACAGGATTAGAAGGCAGATAGCAGCGCGTCCGGAAAAAATGGCTCAGAGAGGGAAAAATTTTGGGCAAAAGGAGGTCATCCGCACGTTCCGGGCGAATGTTCAAGTTTGCTTATACTATGGCTCAAGTGGAAAATATGAAACGTTGAAATCTATTTTATTAAATTTCTCGATGTTTGAGAGACTGTAGAAGAACCACTGCATTTCACATTTATTGTGATTTTCCACCTGATTGAAAAAAATTGCTAACAAAACCTATCTTTTTAATTTTTTATATTTCCCTTCTAATCATATTTATATTTTCTATTAAAGAAAAAGAAAGGATTTGTTCACTCTTGTTAGAAAAAATTATCTTTTCTCTAATAGCAGTTTGCTTTATAATTTATTCAGAGTTTTAAGCTGGCTTTGGCTGATTTACATATTTGAAAATGCATTGAAACAATGTGTCCAGAGTAAAAATTGTTTTCTTTATTTTTTAATTAATTTTCGCATCTTATCTTCAAATTGGTTTTTTTCGTGAAACTAGAAAATGAAATTGAGAGTGAGAGTTCAAAATATTATCTTTTCCTAATGACGTAATTTTTTTATTGCTGGTTGAATAAAAGTGGTAAATAACTTTGGAAATGCAAAGTTATTTCAATTAAATGAGGAAATTATGCTCAGGACAAGGACAGTTTCAGAGAAAATTTTTATTCTTAAAAAGTTAATTTATGTCACTATAAGCTGTAATTTTTTTTAGATAATCATTCATTTTAGTAGCATTTTAAAAGAAATGTAATGTGTCATTAAACTTTACTGTTTATTTATTATAACATTTATTTTGTATTTATTTCTGTACTATTTTATTTTTTTTTATATTATTGTTTTATATGTGTTTGCCTTAAATAATTATTTTTATTTTACAATCAATTAGTATCATTAATTTTTTTCTTTCTTGATTTACCTATTTGGAGTTTGTTGTTTTATGATTAAATTGATGATTAATGTTCAAATAATCTTGACTACATTGCAGCCTAAAGTGTAGTATAATAAGTACAATAGGAAGTCCTTATCTTTTGTGATTTAATTAAAATTGCGATACTGATTAATCGGATAAATCAGAGAATTTTGAATTAGGAACAAAATTCCCTCTTTTAATAAACAAAAAAATGCTGTACAATATTGCGTGGGTCTTTGCTCAATTAGGACTAAAAGGCGTGCGTCTTTTATGCCGCGCGCGAGTTTTATTACCCAGACCCTTTTGGCGCGTCAGAGAGCGAGTGGCGAGGAACAAACAAAGAACATTAGCCTCGTCGCAACCCTTTATATTAAAAAGCAGCGGCTGATTAACTTTTTATGATGCTTCAGATGCTCGGCTTGTGATAGCCTGTTTCCCACCCTGATGGCCCTCGAGCACCACAAGGAGGAGTTCGAGCACTGGAGTTCCGCCGACGACTTCCTTTCCGGCGACTCGGAGACAGAAGAGGATTGCGCCGACCTCGAGCCGTCCGAGGAGGAGGAGCGCGAGCGCCTGTTGCTCTAATTGAGTCGCCCAAAGGCTATGCTGACTGTGTCATATCACGCCGGTCGAGGTCAAAGAGCGAGCTGCTCATTTATTTTCTTTCTTCTCTCTCCCCATCTCAATTTTTCATCCCTCTTGCAAATTTTTTTGTATATGCCCAAAAAGGTTCCGGGAATTTGAGCAAGGAAACTTTTCCGTGCGTTTAATTCCTTGGAGAGTTGAAGCTTATTTGCGAAGCAGGAAAAGTTTTGTAAGAATTACACGTATTTGACAAGTTTAGACTTGCAGGTTGACTTTTTATCTAATAAATAAAAATAAAAAAATGTTTCCGTCTCTAAAGGTAAAGGGGTTTGAATTTTTCAAGCAAATGGAAAAGTTTTTCTACAGTTTTTTTTTTTTTTTTTATGATAAATTTCGCAAACCACTCAGCAAAGAACATTTTACTTTGTTAATATTTTTAAAATTTCGTTAACAATTTTCGCTGGATAAAATTCATGACGGGACATTATATGCCATGATTTTCAAACAAATAACTGTCGACTTGACCGCTTTGATGAAGGTGGTATGAAAAATAATTGTTAACTTCCTACCTTTAATTTAGTTCAGCTCTACAAATCCTTGAAAAAAATATTTATTAAATCGCAAATAATAACACTGAATAAATAATTTTGTGGACAAAATTATGAATTATTTGCAATATTAGAATATCGAAGAAACTAAGAAGATTTCTGCATTTTTTAGGCAGGGAAGTAAATTTGATCAAAATCTTTACCTGAACATTTAATAAATTATTTTTCATGTTAAAAAAAATCATGAGCTCAAAACTTTCCAAAGTTGGTGGCTTTAAAGTTCAGATAATCATCAACCTGAAAAGTTTTATTCTAGGTATAAAATGGAAAGGTTAAAAGTTGACGTTTGAGAATTCAAAATTATAAAAATAGAAAATTAAAAATGAAAATTTCTTAAGGTTTGCGTGTGTGTAACGCCAATTGAGAAAAACTTTTGAACCCGTTTTCTTTATTTAAACTTTCCGAGAAGTCCAATATTGATCTACCAATTAACAATCTAGATCCATCCCGAAAAGTTTGCAAGTCGTCCCAACTTTTAAGCAGCTCCTCTTGGCACCCTCTCCTGGAACAAAATCCGAATCACATAATTTACGAGGGACGAGAAAGATTTTGTATAATGTACATTAAACTTTGAATTGGATTAATATTTTCCTGATGTATAATGAACTCGGAGGGATTCAGCCTGTCGTGCACGTTTGCAATTGCGTCGCAGATGGAAATTGAATTTGCAACCACGCGTCGGCCTTGGTTGCGCTCAAAGCCTGGGGAAATAATGAGGGAAGCGAAACACAATATATGTGTTCTGCGAATTCAATTCCCCATTTGCCATCCGTCTCATATTTCGCGGGTTCAATTATAATTGGGCCTTCAATTTGAAATCATGTCGGCGACAGACAAACACTGATGAGACAAAGGACGTCAGTTTGCTGAATCTCTCTGTGTGCTGCATTTTGCGTATAAGAGTGAGATGTTAAGTGCGAGGTTGACGGTTGTTGACACCAATGTGTAAATTTAATTATCCGTTTGACAGAAGAGTAAAAAACGCTATTTTGGCTATATTCGAGCAAGAAGTGTGTGTATAAAGGGAGTCTGTAGAGAGATGAAGAATATCGACATAGTCACTTTTTCGGAACATATTATCAATGCCAGGGTCTGCAGAATTTAATATATGTCCCTAATCAGCTTACATTGTATAATCAAAATGAAATTCTTTTTCATTTTCAAGAGTTTGATCGCCATGAATATCAAAAACAGAGGAAAATAATTTTCTAAATTTGTACACAGTCTGTAGAATACTCAAAAGAGTTTGATCAACGCACATTTTATTTCAATTTTTAACTCTTTTCTTCCGGGCCGGACCTGAAGTATATGGAGTATGTATTTTTAATTGTTGCTCACTTTGAATCTGTTGGTTATTTTTGGATTCAATTAATCATGCACAAGTTTAAATATTTAGCGGATCGTGGAGTTATAGCAAAAATAATAATGGGTCCCAATGTTCCCTTTCCTGTACCTGAGTGTCGGTAGCAGGAAATTTATAATTAGTTGCAATTATGACTTTTACTTTCAAAATGGGTATAATGTACTGTTTTAATAGACTATCAGATTAATTAATTATTAAATTATATTATATTGTAATTTGTATTTTAATCACTGGTTGTTTGTTAATAAAACCTCTCAGTGTAATATCATTTATGATGCGTTTCATTTACAATGTAAAACTAAAAAATGCTAAACAATTTCATAAAAAAAATTATGATTTCATTGTTTCACTTCATCTAAAGATTAATTTGTTTTTAAAGTTACATTAGAAAATTTTATTGAACACAACATGTGTACAACTTAACAGGAGAAGAAATACAATTTATACAATACAATAAAATATTACTTATCCATCTTACGAGCAGCTTCAGATAACTTAATTCATTTTTACGGCATTCACTTAAATGATATACAATCCGATTTCCATTTGTTTTGAAAATAAAATAAAATTTTTGGATCAAAATATTTTTATAAAAATAGGCTTAGAGAAAAATAATTATATTATATTATACAATGACTAAAACTGGTAGAGCTGTTTTTATACAAATTTCAATATAAAAAAACACAATATTTTTATTACGAAAAAGCCCGTTTTTTCGCTCATAAACTAATTTTTATTTTTAACAAATAGCATCAGACCCACTCATTAATTAGCTTTACAAAAATTAATAAAATATGAACATTCTGAATTATTTTTCGAGCATTTCTGTGAATTTTTGTGTAAACTTTTTTTCTTCAATTTAGTGCTCACATTTTGATTCTCTATTTTCACGACTGTGGCGCAACGGTTTAGGTGGAGCGGCCTTTCCCGGAAAAGCAGGCTGTTTCAACCGTCGCAGCACAGAGAGCGTGACTGCAGTCCGAAGCTGGCAAAAGTTTAAGTGCACAACGGATTCAATTTGCACAGGATAAATTATGTCAAGCAGCAATAAATCAGTGCACACAAATAATGCTTTGTGTAAACGCTTTGTAACTTTTTGTTTGATGCAAATTTTAATAAATTTTAAATTAAATTATAACTTAATTAAAAAAAATCTAATTTAATGTAATTATACATTTTTCTTTTTACATTATTTAAAAACTATATATTGAACCCTTTTTTTTAAAAAGACTTTTGATTTTCAAATTAACAGATAAATTAAATCACCAATTATTTTAATAAAAATTTTAGTATTTTTTTTCCAACAATGATTTTCATAATACTATAATCTAATTTTAATTTGCAGTTAAAAAAAGCAGTGACCAATATAGTGGCAAATATTGTGAGGAATAATTAAATCATCCACCAACGTGGATTTTTTTGCTTCAGAATATGTTTAATTGCAACAATTTTTTTGGTACAAAAAATAGCTAGGATGGCCAGTGCATATTATACACTCCACACGCAGACATTGACAAACGAGCATCAATCTTATAACCACGTCCCCACTATCGACGAATTTTAAGGACTCCTTATTGACATAGTCAAATCAAGTCTTTACAACAATGGTTTGTTAAATTTCCAATAATTGCCCAAAATAGCTTCTATTGTTGAAAAGACTTGATTTGACTATGTCAATAAGGAGTCCTTAAACAAAGAAAATTGATTTATGTATTATGATTGTTGATTGTTGCCGTCACTATGACGACGTTAATGAAAAGAAAACGGTTTCTCCGGTTCCGCAACAATCATAATTTTTGAATTCATAAATCTTTCAAACCTTGAGCCTTCAGCCTTCAAAATGTCGTCCGTTTCACCACTTGGTAAGAATCGTCGCCCCTTCAGAGTTCCAGTAAGATTCGTGTCGAGCGTTACTTTGGCCCACCTTGCGGACCCTAGAGCCCATCATGGTCATCCGGTGGATTTGAGTTTGGGTGTGGTCTTATTGATATGCATAGAGAACACAGAGGACGAGGACAAAGAATTCTTTACCTTGAGTAAGTCAAAGTTGCTCTACGATCTTGTATGTAACATTTGAGTTTACTAAATTGTGTTTGTCATCCACAGCTGGACACGACTTTTTGGCCAAGGTGATGATTCTTGCTGAGGAGTTCGTCAAATTTGGCATCGAACCTGTGCACTACGTGGACAACCAGGGAACTGTCAACCTCGGATTTCTTGACTATGGACACCAAAGGTTGATTGTCAAATGCTGCCAAAACCCTTTTGTCAACGTCTCCCTCTGCCTTGAGTATGTGAAATGTGAACAAATAGAAGATTTATTTGCTAAATAAATCAAGTAATAAAAAAGAAAGAAACATAAGAAATATAAATTTTATTGGCTGAAAAGGTGATTTTGATCACTGAATTTTATCATTAGCAAATTTTTTGTTGGAAATCTTACGAGCAGCTTCAGACCAATAATTCATTTTTACATACGGCATTCACTAAAATGATACATGAATCCGATTTCCATTTGTTTTGAAAATGAAGGACATTTTTTTAATCAAAATATTTTTATAAAAATAGGCTTAGGGAAAAATAATTATATATATTGTACAGTGACCAAAACTGGTAGAGCTTGTTTTTATAAAAATTTCAATATAAAAAAACATAGTATTTTTATTATGAAAAAACCCGTTTTTTCACTCACTAATAAATTAATTTTTCTTTTTTAACAAAAAGGATCACTCATTAATTAGTTTTACAAAAACATTTCTTTGCATTTATTTTTGAAATATTTTTTTTTCAATTTAGTGCTCACATTTTGATTCTCTATTTTCCCGGCTGTGGCGCAACGAGGCGGGTTTATTTGGAGCGGCTTTTCCCGGAAAAGCAGGCTGTTTCAAACGTCTCAGCACAGATAGCGTGACTGGTCCAAAGCTGGCAAAAGTTTTAAGTGCCCAACGGATTCAATTTGCACAGGAAAAATATGTCAAGCAGCAATAAATCAGAGAACAAAAAATGCTTTGTGTAAACGCTTAAGTAACTTATTATTTTATTTAATGCAGTTTTTTAATAAATTGCCTAAAATCAAATTATATATTTAATTAAAAAATCTCGTTTAATAATAAAAAAATAATTTTCAATCAACTTTTTTTTTAAACCTTAAATTGAACTTTTTTTATATAGACTTTTGATTGTAAGTTTGACAGAAAAAAACTGCTAGATTCAATCAACAAAATTTTTTAATATAAATTTTAGTATTGTCTTTTTTCCAACAGAGTTTTTCATTTTCCAATTTGCGCATCAGCTGGCGACACAATACATTGCAGCTTCTCATAAAGCACGTGGGTGTTCGATGACAGCCCCTTTTGTAGCAGTTCATCCCCTTGGGAGACAATTTTTCGGCAAAGGTCGTCGCGGATCACCAGGAATAAGTGGTGCGGTTTGGCGCGCGTGTCCGCATCGTCTGTCTCTCTCGTATAAATGTAACCTGTGACCTCACTCTCGTCACACGTTATGCACAGCTAGGGTGAGAGAGAGAGAGATGGTGACGTCACACCTCGATCGATCCAAGACGTGGCCCTTTTCCGCGAGTCTCTCGAAATCAGTGTGCCACTGGAGCACACCACGCTGCCGGCTCAGCCTGTTTTGCTCTCTCTCTCTCGTCTAAATCACGGGGCTCGTTCCGTCGCACCCCTGCTTAACAAATGGGGGCTCAACCGGAATTACACAAATACATTTGCCACCGCTTGAATTATAATGAGCGAGCGTCGCTCCTCCGAAATTTATCATTTCCCTTTTGAATTGATGAACGACGCTCTTAATTACGGACAAAATAGAAGTTCATAAATACCGACTTGGCGTTTTAATAGCTCGCTAAATTGCGTTTTTGTGTTGTCGGTCCTGGCGCGCTCTTGTGCGCTTTTCGCCGGAAAAAAGAGCAACAACGACGAGGCGAGTAAATCATGTGCTGAATCGCGAGAATTTGCGGTTAGAACGCCGGCTGCGCACGAATCGCCTTTGAATTTTATTGGACCAAAAAGCAGAGGGATGGGGTAACAATTGGATACAATAAAACGACGGAGATGATTATTAAATTGATATTTTCATATATAATAAAAATTCAGGCAAAGATAATATACAGATATATTGATAAACGGGTAAAATTTATTTTAAAATTAAAGTAAAAAAAAAACAGAGTTTATTGATTTCGTGTAGGTCAAAGGTAACTGAATTTGAAATTTGATTTCAAAGTCGATGCCGCAAATCGGCGCCGCAAATCGGCGCCGCAAATCGGCGCAGCAAAACGGCACCGCAAATCGGTGCCGCAAATCGGCGCCGCACGAGCGCGAGCTTTTTTTTTTTTTTTTTTTTATTTAGAAAAAAAACAAGATTTAAATTTTTTTTTGTAAAACAAGTTTAAAAAAAAACAATTTTTCATAAATTTAGAAAACTTATTAAGAAATGACCGGGTCATCTAGTAAAAATAAACGACTTAATTTTATATTGATTATAATTAAATTTTTAATTTTATTTCCTCAGCTTTTATTAATAAATTTCTTATAAAAATTTAAATAAAAATTGTTTGAATTTATTAAATCATATTGAGCAAATCGGCGCCGCAAATCGGCGCCGCAAATCGGCGCCGCAAATCGGCGCCGCAAATCGGCCCCGCAAATCGGCCCCGCAAATCGGCCCCGCAAATCGGCCCCGCAAATCGGCGCCGCAATCGGCCCCGCAAATCGGCGCCGCAATCGGCCCCGCAAAACGGCGCCGCAAATCGGTGCCGCACGAGCGCGGGCTTTTTTTTTCTTTAGCAAGATTTAACATTTTTTTTGTAAAACAAGTTAAAAAACAATATATTTCATAAATTTAGAAAACTTATTCTGAAATGATCGGGTCATCTAGTAAAAATAAACGACTTAATTTTATATTGATTATAATTTAATTTTTAATTTTATTTCCTCAGCTTTTATTAATAAATTTCTTATAAAAAAATTAGAAATTGAAATAAAAATTGTTTGAATTTGTTTAATTTTATTAAGCAAATCCGTGGCAAATCGACGCCGCAAATCGGCCCCGCAAATCGGCCCCGCAAATCGGCCCCGCATATCGGCCCCGCAAATCGGTGCCGCAAATCGGCGCCGCACGAGCGTGAACGTTTTTTTCTTTTTTTTATTTAAAAAAAAAACGATTTAAAATTTTTTTTGTAAAACAAGTTAAAAAAAACAATATTTCATAAAATTAGAAAGTTGATTCTGAAATGATCGGGTCATC